ACAGAATATATCAGATTTATTTGCTGAAAAGACAAGAGTGTATAAAAAGGCAGCTCCTAAAACACTTTGAATGTTCACCAGGAAAACATTTGTTTAGCAGGCCCATTATTCTACTTTGATTATGAGCTAATCATTGGTTAATTTGTTTATGAAAATGTTTTGTATTCTTTCCATTTTGTGATGTACTGGGGTCAAGGCAGTGGAAGATGGAAATGGTGGGAAGCTGACTTTGTCCCCTACACCACTATGGAAAAGTAAAATGGAGCCAGGCTCCACTGGTAATCTGTGATACCTGGCATTTGCGCAGTAACCTGACTCCGCCAGTTGGATTTGCTCCGCATATCCATCTGGAAACCTTCCGTTGAAGTAATTTTGGGAAGGGGCGAAAATACTGGCTAGCTGATTGGCCTATGTTGGTGATAGACGGGCCGAATAAACCAATCAGATCAACGAAGCATATGACGTACTAACGAACGACGACGAAAACACAACCACAAGCCAGGCTACTCTTGTCGAAACCAGTCGGGAGAAGAGCAAAAACATCTTTTCCTCTGAGAAAAGCCTCCAGAGCAGTGTTTTGCTCTTCTTTCAGTGAAGAAATTCTCTGCAATTACGATAAAACTTGCTCGATAGCCACGCTAACGCTAGTTTCATCGGCTGAAGCCGCCATGTTCTTTAGACTGAACGGTCGCGCTTCTCGTTGCGTCACACCTCAACCCGCCTCAAAGCCAACGCTGATTGGACGTTCGTTTGGTGAACTGCTCCAAATTTTCTTTAATGGAGAGTCTCCAGACTGATCTGCGAGAGAAACCTTGAAGGCTATTTGCCCAGTGGGCCGGTCCTAATTTCAGCCCGAAAGGGCCGGCCCTCCTTAAATCGTTCTGCCCCCAACATTTACTCTCCGGCCGAAGCTCCTACCTGTGACAGTAAATAACTCAAGGAGCTCCAGAATTAATCCAATGTTAACTACCTAAATGATGCATGCAGTATATATAGCCCTTCCTTGTCATGCACATCCTTGTGACGGTTGGCATATGGTCTAATTTTCTATTTCTTTAAACTGTAAAATCCTTGAAACAAACTGAATTATAATAAAACTAAAAAGCTTTTTTTAAACCAAACAACGATGTTCCTCTTATATTTGGGACAAAAAGCAGAAAGCTCTACAAGTTGACACTTCTAGATGTTTTAAAAAAGATCTTTTGTTTGTGTGGCCGGTGTTTCAACCGTTGCTGCTAGTGTTCCGGACGTCCCTGCTGCTACAAGGGGTGAAACTGCAACTAGATGAGGACTTTATTGGAGAGGTTAGTCCAGGCTCAAAGCCAATCGGTGATGATGTCTATTTTATTTTTATTGGGGGTGGTCCGTAAGTGGGCCGGTGTAGATAGAAAAATGTCAGGTCCCAAAATCGTTTCCAGTCCGAGCCTGAATGAAGTATGCAGTGGTTCTTAACTCTGGTCCTTAGGAGACCCGTTTTCTTACTGCATTGCATCACTCAAGAGGAAATGGAAGAGGAGGAGCTCTATTTTGAACCAGGTGTGCAGGAACAGAGACATATGTAAAACATGCAGGGCAGGTGTCCCTGGCCACCAAGACTGGGAACCACTGCTACATCTATGCTTTTTCCACTAGAAAAAGCATAGATGGAAATAGAAATGTGGCAACTATCGCAAACATTGGAGAAGCCTCCACCACTGTCCCGCCTCCAGCCGTCGTCTTCACTCATGGATGACAAGCTGTCAGTCAAAGTCTTCCTGACGGTACCTCCCGTGTGATCTAGTCTGCAAGGTCCAATCAGGAGGAGGCTTAAAGAAGAGGTTTGTCTCCGCCCAACCTGTCAAAATACATTTTCCTTCACATGATGAGAAAACCAGTCTGAGGGCAGAGACGCTATCGAGAGCACAGCCGTCCTGGAGCGTGGCCGCTGGATAGAAAATTGTGTGTGCAGTGTGATCCCAAGTACAATCCCAAGCACACCTTGGAGGAGCCGGATTTTCTACTCTTGGAGCGGCAGTTTCTCATGCATGTGTGATTTTGTTGTGCGTTGGTAGATAAACCATGTGCAGAAGTAGTTTAACATGTTTATTTATCTTGTGGGCGTCTTGAAATAAATGTGACACCATATGAATGTCTCACATTCACTCTCACTACAGTGAAGATGAGAAAAATGGTGAAGCGCACCTACTGTAGGAACTCAAAATGGCCAGGCATATCCAAGCCTGGCAGAGTTAAAGCCGAAAAAAAATATTATTTAAATTTTAAATTATTCTCGCTTAAACATGGATATAAATGTACTCTTTATCAGAGCAAATTGTCCCAAAAGTTAGAAAATTTCTATTTTAAATGAAACCCTGTCTTAAAATCTGTGTTGTTTTTTTCATTATCTTCTGCAGGCCAGTTAGTTCTACGTCAGCCTGAACACCTAAATTCGGCCAATCATTTATCAACGGTCATCTGTCAATCTAATTTTTGTCAGCCATAGCATCTTGATTCATATGTCGCAGCTACATTTGAACAGAATATAGCCCCCATTTTGGGGGAAAAAAATCCTTGCAGAATATATCAGATTTATTTGCTGAAAAGACAAGAGTGTATAGAGTGGCAGCTTCTAAAGCAATTTGAATGTTCGCCGGGAAAACATTTGTTTAGAAGGCCCACTGTTCTACTTTGATTATGGGCTAATGAAAGGTATATTTGTATATGAAAATGTTCTGTATTCTCCCCATTTTGTAGAGAAGAGGATAAAAGCAGTCTCGGGTCTTTCAGTTCCAAGTTGCTGTCAGGATGGAGAAGATTATCTTCAGCTTTCTTATTCTCACAAGTTCTAGCTGTTGGGATGAAATATATGTCTATGTTGATGGTCCCCCAAAATGTTGGTCTGAAGCAAAGGATTACTCCACAGCAAGCTATGCTAACATTGTATCCCTCACCAGTCCAGAAGAGGAGCAGGTGTTCAAAAGATACGTGGATCAAAATGAATCTTGGAAAGGATGGATCGGGATGTACTGGCATCAAGGTAGAAACACATGGAAATGGTGGGAATGTGACAATGTCACCTACACTACTCTGGGCCTTCCATATGAAGAACCAGACATCAGTCCAAATGTCTCCAGGGAACCGAATGGATGGCAATAGGAAGATGGTACCTCTGGGAAGAGTTTCGTCTGCCTGAACATGCTTGTGGTCCAGGAAAGGAAGACTTGGGAGGATGTTCTGGAGCACTGCAGAAACAACTATGGCAACCTCACCAATCTGCTCTCTGAGGTAGAGAAAAGTGTAGCTCCAAGGCACGCGTTACCTTGGAGAAAGTTGGATGTGGGTGAATGGAGATCCTCTGGAGTTCACTGCCTGGCTGACAGAAGATCAGGACTACCAGTGTCCGAGGCTGAGGCGCTGCGGCGCTTTGAACAAAGAGGGGAAGTGGGAGATAAGGGACTGTGAGGAGAAACTCAACTACATCTGTGCCAAGGTGTAGAAACGAGACCAAGGATCAGGTCTCTGTTTTGATACATACACAGCCTTTTGTTATATCCTTTGATCCTTAATTTATTATTTCATCATATATGTTATTGTAAAAAATTTCTTGCAAATTTAATGAAGCGGTAGATGGTACAGAAGTGTGAATCCAGAAATTACCAGTAAGGAATTACCAGGAGTCAAAACGAGGAGAGGCCTCAGGAGAATCAAACATAAGAATGAAGAGAATCCAGCACTGAGGAACTGTATGGGAGGTGTATATATGGGAGACAGAAAAATGAATGGGCTAATCAGCTGATATGGAGCAGGTGTAGACAGAAGGAACTAGAAAGGAACCAAGGGGAAAGAAAGGGATCACTGAAGACAACAAAGAATAACACTAGGATCTAACTGAGATCTCTCTATAGTTCTGCTGCTATAGGCTTATACTGCTGGAGGACATAGGGACCCCTTTTTCATCATTCTGCTTCATTCTATCTCTATCCTCCCACTCTGCAGAATCTGTTAGTTCAATCTCTAACGTTCTGCTCTCTCTGCTTTTTCTCATAGTAGCTTCATCTGGTCTGTTCCTGTTTGGCTGTGACTCCATCCTGGAGAGAAATATCAGCTGTGCTGCTGCCATCAACACCTTTGTTTCTAGATGTTGGAGCTTGGCCTGTTTTCCAGTGTAGTCCTGTTTCTCTGACTGTGACTAACTGGATGTGCTCTCTTCATCCTCTGACATGGGAGCTGCCTTGGAGCTCGTCTGCCTGGCTGCGTGTTTCCTGGACGGGGCCGCCTTTTACAATTGCCTTTTGTATCTATGCTTCTGTCTCCTTGAACCCTAGTCGGCCTCAGTAGATGGCCGCTCACAGGGAGTAATTCCTCTCCACTGTCGCTACAAGCATGCTGAGTGTGAGGGATTGCCTTCCAGTCAATGAGTCGATGCAATCAGCTGGTTTTCCTTAGATAGAAAACTTTGAATCAATCTGACTGGATGATCTGGTGAACTGGAAAGTACCTTGAGATGACGTGTGTTGTTAACAGGCACTATATAAATGAGCTAAATTGAACCGTAACTAGAAAAGAACTTAAATAAACCAAAAGGGGAAATAATACTAGAATAGTGTAGAATAGGATATAACTGTATTGATCTCACAAATCTCACAAATTCACTTGTGACTAATGACTACAACTAAAACTAGACCAAGCATTAAATACTGCCAAATATGCAGAAAAGAGAAAACTGAAATAAATATTTAGGGAGAGTAAAACTAAGAATTCAAAAATGATTTATGTATTGACAAATACAGAATAACACAAAATAAAGAGCAACTGAGAACCCAAAAAGAAATCCAGAATGGGCAGAATTGTGACATCATAAGTCTTTTAAGGTTATTTTTGTCCTTAATCTTATGATTTGAATTACCTTCAGTTTTTTCGTTCAGCTCCAGTCAAACACATACCTTCAAATTTTACAGAACAATCAGATTTAATTGATATAGTTTCAAATAGATCAGAATGTGGATGAGTTTAAAAATACATTACTAAAATGCATCTGACTGTCTTTCTCCATGTCTATTTTCCAGTTCATAATTACTGCCTAATTGCGACAGCGTTTTCACAATCTGTAGAATATCATTCTTAGCTCAGTGCATGACATGAAGGAATCCTTTCCGAAATAAAGCATCATTTCACACAGTCAAGTTTGTGGGCTTTTCTAACGCCTGCTGTGAAGGATGTGGTCTTCTTAATGGTCCCTAGAGGCGGGTCTATCAACACTGCCTTCAAGGCAATGTCCTAAGAGAAGTTAAAAAGTAAAAAAAAAAAGCCTGGAAGAAGTAATCAGCATTAATGCTTAACAAGGCAGACAGGTAGGCAACCTGTAAAACACTTTGAATGTTCACCAGGACAACATTTGTGTAAAAGGCAAATTGTTCTACTTTGTTTATGAGCTAATGAATGGTATGTTTGTCTATGAAAATGTTCTTTATTCTCCCCATTTTGTAGAGAAGAGGAGGAAACCAGTCTCAGGTCTTTCAGTTCCAAGCTGCTGTCAGGATGGAGAAGATCATCTTCTGCTTTCTTATTCTCACAAGTTCCTGTTGTTGGGGTGAAAAATATGTCTTTGTTGACAGTCCCCAAAAAAGTTGGATGTATGCAAAGGATTACTGCCAGCAAAACTATGCCAACATTGTATCCCTCACCAGTGCAGAAGAAGAGCGGGTGTTCTTTAAATATGTGAATAAAAACGGACCAAGGGAAGGATGGATCGGGATATACTGGGATCAAAACATGAGAAGATGGAAATGGTGGAGAGGTGGCAATGTCACCTACCACAGAGTTGTGAACTCTGGTGAATGGGATACGGTTAAAAATGTGAACTGGATGCAGAATGGATGGCAAATGGAAGTCGGTACCTCTCCTAAGAGTTTCTTCTGCCTGAACATGATTGTGGTCCAGGAAAGGAAGACCTGGGAGGATGCTCTGGAGCACTGCAGAAAGAATGATGGTGACCTCATCAGCCTGCTCTCTGAGGTAGAGAACCATATATCTAAGATAAAGATCGAGGATTCAGCCTTGACTCAGCAGGTGTGGATCGGCATGCGTTACCTTGGAGACAGCTGGATGTGGGTGAATGGAGACCCTGTGCTGTACACGGCCTCATTAACAGAAGGGGATCAGGACTACCAGTGTCCGAAGCTGAGGCGCTGCGGCGCTTTGACCAAAGAGGGGAAGTGGGAGAACAGGGACTGTGAGGAGAAACTCAACTTCATCTGTGCCTGAGTTTGACCAAGGATCAGGTCTCTAATATGATAGATACGCAGCATTTTGTTATATCCTTTGATCCTGAATTTATTATTTTAGTCATATTTTATCATATATGTTATTGTAAAAACTCTTTCGACAATTATGTTCATAAATAATATTTTCATCTAATTATAGGACTGTAAGGGCTTCTTGTAAATGGAGATGCATATTTAATGTGTGTAGATCTTAGGCTGTGGTGATTGTAAAAGATGTATTGAACTCTGATAAAAGTTAGTTTGTTTTTTAAAGGGACATGACACGTTTAAAAAGAGGTTCCTAGCTTGATTTTTCATTAACCATCTGTTTTACTGTGTGCTGTTGTTATTATTATGTGGAATAAATCATGAGTGGATCAGATATTGTGTCAGGATCTGTGGAGTTTTTTAGAGGATCCAAACGCAGAGAAGGAAGGCTGAGGTAGTTTCTTGCAAATTTAATGAAGAGGTAGATGGTACAGAAGCGTTAATCCAGAAATTGCCGGTAAGGAACTCAGGAATCAAAACGAGGAGAGGCCTCGGGAGAATCAAACATAAGAATGAAGAGAATCCAGCACTGAGGAACTGTATGGGAGGTGTATATACGGGAGACAGAAAAATGAATAGGCTAATCAGCTGATATGGAGCAGGTGTAGACAGAAGGAACTAGAAAGGAACTAAGGGGATAGAAAGGGGGCACTGAAGACAACAAAGAATAACAACAGGATCTAACTGAGATCTCTCTATAGTTATAACACCTTTGTTTCTAGATGTTGGAGATCGGCCTGTTTTTTCAGTGTAGTCCTGTTTCTCTGACTGTGACTAACTGGATGTGCTCTCTTCATCCTCTGACATGGGAGCTGGCTTGGAGCTCGTCTGCCTGGCTGTGTGTTTGTGTGGATGGGGCCGCCTTTAACAGTTGCCTTTTGTGTCTCTGCTTCTTTTTCTATGTCTGCTTCTGTCTCCTTGAACCCCAGTGGGCCTCAGCAGATGGCCGCTCACACTGAGCCTGGTTCTGCTGGAGGTTTCTTCCTGTTCAAAGGGAGTTTTTCCTCTCCACTGTCGCTACAAGCATTCTGGTGTGAAGGATTACCTTGAAGTCAATGAGTCGATGCAATCAACTGGTTTTCCTCAGAACATTTTTAGAAAATTTAGAGTAGAATATGATATAACTGTATTGATCTCACAATGGAGAAATTGTGACTAATGACTACAACTAAAACTACACCAAGGATTAAATAATACAAAATATGTAGAAACCTGAAATAAATATTTAGGGAGAGTAAACCTAAGAATTCAAAAATGATTTATGCATTGAAAAATACACAATAACATAAAATAAAGCTTCGCTGAGAACCCAAAAAGAAAACTTAAACAGAAAAAGAAGTCCAGAATGGGTAGAATCATGACATCATAAGTCTTTTAAGGTTCTTTTTGTTCTTAATCTTATTATTTGAATTACCTTTAGTTTTTTCTTTCAGCTCCAGTCAAACAGATACCTTCAAATTTTACAGAACAATCAGATTTAATTGATATAGATGGTTTCAAATAGGTCTGAATGTGGATGAGTTTAAAAATACATTATTAAAATGCATCTGACTGTCTTTCTCCATGTCTATTTTCCAGTTCATCATTACTGCCTAATTGCGACAGCGTTTTCACAATCTGTGGAATAACATTCTTAGCTCAGTGCATGACATAAAAATCTTTTTTTACATAAAAATGTTAAAAAAACATAATAAGGGGGATGTTTCAGCATGAATGCTTTAAAAGGCAGACATGTAGACAGCCTGTAAAACACTTTGAATGTTCGCCGGGAAAACATTTGTTTAGAAGGCCCATTGTTCCACTTTGATTATAGGCTAATGAATGGTATATTTGTTTATGAAAATGTTCTGTTTTCTCCCCATTGTGTAGAGAAGAGGAGAAAACCAAACCCAAGTCTTTCAGTTCCAAGTTTCTGTCAGGATGAAGAAGATCATCTTCTGTTTTTTTATTGTTTTTCTTACAATCACTACATGCTTTTAACAGAACAAGAAACATTAGAAGCATCTGAGTTAAGCTGGGGGTTTGAAACTGATGCTACTGTGAGGTCATTTGATTTGAATAGCTTCATATTTTTGAGTCTTTATTTTATCTAATGATTTATTTCTCCTGTTTAGTCCTTGTCAGGGTTGCGGTGGTGCCAGTGCTTATCTCCAATAGTCTATGGGTGAGAAGTATGGCGTCACATTTATTTCAAAACACGCGCGAGCAAAATAAACACACTCGCATGTATGTTACACTATTCCTGCACATGGTTGATCTACCACCGCACAACGAAATCACACATGCGTGAGAAACTGCTGCTGCGAGAGGAGAAAATCGCTCTCTGCGTGCGCACCAGCTCCTCACACGCCGGTGGCGTGGAATCCAGGGGTGCCCGGATGGGGCCACTAAAAACCTTGGGGGGGCAAACTGAAACTAAAAGCCATAATTTCAGGGTTTATACAACTCAGCTCATACTTTATTTATAAAGTACATCACATTTATATATGACTTCCCTACGACTTTGTCTTAGGGAAGTCATATATAAATGTCAAATCATTCTGGGTTAAACATGTATATAAATGTACTCTTTATTTTTGTCAGGAATCACTTCCAAGCTCGATACAGAGTTAGAAATCCTACAGGAGTCAGAGGACAAGTCAGGTAAACAGATGAGAATGGGGACAGGAAAGCTCAGAGGTCCAGAGGCAGAATGGGTCAGGATCAGACAATCAGAAACACTCAGGTACGCTAGAGAACTCTCATCAATGGCTTGAATAATCTGGCACTGATGACTGATTGAAGGCTGGTTAATTAGAGGCTGAAGCAGGTGGATCAGATGAACTGTAATTAGACCTGAGCAGAGCTAGACAGGTGAAAGAAATTACTAATCAGGCCAGTCATCAGCACCAAGATCATGACAACAAACAGTCTCAACCCAAATGATCAAAGTTTCCAATTAATTAAATAGAGCATGTACAGGTAAAAGCCAGTAAATTAGAATATTTTGAAAAACTTGATTTATTTCAGTAATTGCATTCAAAAGGTGTAACTTGTACATTATATTTATTCATTGCACACAGACTGATGCATTCAAATGTTTATTTCATTTAATTGTGATGATTTGAAGTGGCAACAAATGAAAATCCAAAATTCTGTGTGTCACAAAATCAGAATATTGTGTAAGGGTTAAATTTTGAAGACACCTGGTGCCACAAACTAATCAGCTGATTAACTCAAAACACCTGCAAAGGGCTTTAAATGGTCTCTCAGTCCAGTTCTGAAGCCGACACAAACATGGGGAAGACTTCAGATTTCACCGCTGTCCAAAAGGCGACCATCGACACATTGCACAAGGAGGGAAAGACACAAAAGGTTATTGCTGAAGAGGCTGGCTGTTGTCAGAGCTCTGTGTCCAAACACATTAATAGAGAGGCAAAGGGAAGGAAAAACTGTGGTCAGAAAAAGTGTACAAGCGATAGGGATCAGCGCGCCCTAGTCAAGATTGTGAAAAAAACCCATTCAAAAATGTGGGGGAGATTCACAAGGAGTGGACAGCTGCTGGAGTCAGTGCTTCAAGATCCACCACCAAGAGACGCTTGAAAGACATGGGTTTCAACTGCCGCATACAGCGGCGTAGGAAGCGGGGGGGACGGCGGGGGGACATGTGTGACATTTGTATTTTTAACACCTAATGTCTCTAATGATTTTCTTTTATTGTCTAAAATTGCAGCAGAAATTTCCAGGGTAAATCGGGAAATAAAACAACGGCATTGGCTTTAAGGAGAGCAGAGACAGAGGACAGTAAAGCCACTTTCCCACTGAAAGTAGCAGGTTAATTCAAACCACCTGACTCTTTGCCCAAAATAAGAACATTCTCTGTCCTTAAAGTGTAGATGGACAGCCAAGTCGTGTCCAGAGGAGGTCGCTCTTCTGTGCCGGGCCATGCCTCTGTAGAGAGGTTGTTTGGTTTATCCAATATGAAGATCAGAGCATTCCTCACTGCATTGAGCTGCAGACACCACTCCGCTCATATTAGGTCTGGGGGGGTTTTGTCTTTGGGATGTACTAGTCTCTATTTAAGGGTCTTGTTTGGTTTGAAATGTACTGGGATTTTGTGTTTGGAGAAAATCTAATGGCATCTAAATGTAACCAATGCTAAATGAATGATTTAGAGGTATGTTTATATGTTTTTTTTTTTTTATAGAGAGGCACTTTGATCATTGCTCAGGGGTAATCCTTCTATAGATTCAGCTTTAGATTCTTCCAGACTGATGGACAAAACCTAATCTCTAGGCATAGTTGAAATAGAATCTGTTTTTTGTAACTAGGTTTGTGTTAACAGACTGGTTTACTTTGCATATTTTACATCCCATTTTAAAGGTGATCAGACTCCAAAACACAACAAAGCTTGTGAGTGGAAATCTATGGTACTGTTTCTGTGCCTAAACTGCAAAATACCGGAAAAGTGTGGAATATAGTCCAGTCCTCCTGGGCTGGAACAACTTTTCACAGGTGCCAGAAGTTTGTCCCCTCCAGGGAAAACAGATGTAAAGTAGCTCTCAGAAACAGAAGTTATTATTCCAGTTTATGAAACAAAGTAAACATCAGGGTTTGTGAAGAAAATACTCTTTTTTGAGCAACCTGGAAAACAATTATGAATTACATATATTTTTTTAAATGGTTTGATAGAGAATTTGCAGAATCTCTCTTAAACATTGTCATTTTGATGCAATGTGGAATCACCTTTAAAAAAAAAAACAGTATTGGGTGTCTAAGCAAATATTAGATAATATTATCACTCGAAGGCAATCCCTTACACCAAGCATGCTTGTAGCACCAGTAGAGAGGAAAAACTCAATTTTAACAGGAAGAAACCTCCAGCAGAACCAGGCTCAGTGAGCGGCGATCTGCTGAGGCTGACTGGGGTTCAAGGAGACAGAAGCAGACATAGAAAAAGAAGCATAGATACAAAAAGCATCTGTAAAAGGCGGCCCCGTCTAGGAAACACACAGCCAGGCAGACGAGCTCCGAGCCAGCTCCCATGTCAGAGGATGAAGAGAGCACATCTAGTTAGTCACAGTCAGAGAAACAGGACTACACTGGAAAACAGGCCAAGCTCCAACATCTAGAAACAAAGGTGTTGATGGCAGCAGCACAGCTGATATTTCTCTCCAGGATGGAGTCACAGCCAAACAGGAACAGACCAGATGAAGCTACTATGAGAAAAAGCAGAGAGAGCAGAACGTTAGAGATTGAACTAACAGATTCTGCAGAGTGGGAGAACAGAGATAGAATGAAGCAGAATGTTGAAAAAGGGGTCCCTATGTCCTCCGGCAGTCTAAGCCTATAGCA